CTGGAGAAGGGTCCAGACCCGAAACGTCAGCTTTCCTGCTCCTCTGATGCTGCTTGCCCTGCTGTGTTCATCCAGCTCTACATCTTGTTATCTCAGTATTGCTGACAAGCTTCTCCTTCAACATGAATCCAGATTTTCACTTCGGAGGCTGCTGAACATTATCAGCATGACATGCTCATGTACAGGAAAATGCGTTTGAAGTGCATTCAGAGCTCAAAATATTCATTAATGTCACCATTCAGGGTAGAAGGATTCTCCAGTCATCGACTGCACCTTTATACCAAAGTATCGTGCCCGCCATGCGGCTATACTGATCACTCATAAGCAATTTCAGAACAATCTGACACTAACCTTTTTCTTCACCAGAGACATGACTCCTATCCTTGTCAGGACTTGCTGCCGAGACAGACCCTCTCGAGGCACCCCATCTGCAAACGTTTCTGCACCATCAGCCCCGGGTTCACACAGGTGTCTCATGAAAAGGGACACGTAAGCCCTACAATCAAACAGACCAACCTGACAGCATTCACTGGATAAACTGATTCAAAGAAAAACAACATCAAAATAGTGTTTCCCTGTCAGAGGCAAGGGTTCCAATATGAAACAGGAGGGCAGACTTACTTGAACTCCTTCTCGCTCTTGCCTCGCAGATCCCTGACCAGCCATTGGGAGTTGAAAGCATCCTGAGGAGGCATCCCCCACCTCATCACTGCATTGAGGAATGCTTTCCTCTGCCGAGTGTTAAATCCTAAAACCTGTGAAGGGGGAAGAGAGGAAACATTTGACAGGAGGGATTTCATCTTGGGGAAGGACACTCATCTGCTTGTTTTAGGCCAATTGTGCCCAATCCCAGCCCAAGAAAAAGAGTCTGGTAATTGAAACTGGAGCTTTCCTGGTGCGGACCAGGGAAGCACACACCATAGTCATTACTTCATCCAACACCCCATGTAATGCTTTTATTTCACTGAAAAATAGGATTTTTGCCATCAGTAAAGCCAAAAGGTGGTCATTATGTAGTCACTGACTTCAGTCTAATCTCCCCCCTCCCCCACCCACCTCCTGCCACTACACCAGAGGTTGCAGTGACTGTATTGTATTGGTTTGCAGTGCAGAGTCTCTTCAGTCTGCCTGCGGAAGTCCATTACACAGTTTGAATGTCTGTCCTGCATGAGGGAAGGAGCCAGATCTCAAGACCCCCTCTAGGAAACCAAGACAGTCAACATCAGTCAGTGACAATTCACATGAGTAAGGCTATCATCACTTGGCAATCAAGATTAGAGCCTCTGCTCTCCTGTGTTCTCCCACACCATCCCAAAATGCCACATCTGCCTCACCGGCACCCCTATCACCACTTATTCCCAGAAACAAAAGGCAAATCTATGAGGTGAGGATATTCCAGAAGAAGAACATTTTCTTTTCATAATGGATAGAATCCATTGATAAAAAAGGGTCTGGGGAATGCTATGTACCTCATGTGGCATTGCTCCCAGTTAATCTCAGTGTTTCAAAATAGGAGGAAGAGTATGACGGGCCTTGCCAGTTAATAAATTAAGTGAGGCAAGTCAGGGATCAACTGCCCTTCAGGCTACAGATTAGGAACCTAGAATGAAATGGAATACAGCTCCAGGATGTAGAAGGATCTGGGTGTCTCAGCACAGGAATTACAAAATGTTAGAATGCGGGTTCAGCAAGTAATATAAAGCAAAAATATAATAATTTATTGCAAAGAAAAATGAACAAAAACATACAAAATAGGAGCAAAAATAGGCTTTCAGCCCTTTCAACCTGCTTTGTCATTCAATATGATCATAGCTGATCGTATAACTCAGTACAACGTTCCTGCTTTCTCCCCATAATCTTTTATCCCTTTAGCCCGAAGAACTATACCCAACACCTTAAAAATACTCAACCCTTTGGCCTCAAACGCTTTCTATAGTGGAGAATTCCACAAGTTCACCACTGTCTGGGTAATTTCTCATGCAAGTCCTAAATGGCCTAACCTCCTCTTGTGCTTAAAGTGTGACACCGGGTTCTGGACTACCTGGTCATCAGGAACATCCTTTGTATCTTGAGACAACAGTGTGGAGCTGAAGGAACACAGCAGGTTGGGCAGCATCAGAGGAGTAGGAAAGACTATGTTTAGGGTCGGGCCCGACCCGAAGCGTTGGCTTTCCTACTCCTCTGCTGCCTGACCTGCTGTGTTCCGCCAGCTCCACACTGTTGTCTCAGACTCCAGCATCATCAATCCTTTGCATCTTCCCTGTGTAGCCCTGTTTGAATTTTATTGTTAGAGATTCTACCCCTTCTCCCCCAGCAATTCTTCTCTACGCTAGTGAATATACTCTTGACTGATCCAGTCTCACTTCGTACATCAGTCCTGCCAGCCCAGGAATTGATACTTGGAGTTTTGGGGGTAAGAGAAAAAAAAAAAAAAGTGTTATTGTTGCCATCTATGAGGAAAGGTTGGCCAGGCTAGGAGTGCACACACTGGGGAGTTTTGAAGAAGAGTAAGAGCTAACTTGATTAGAACACAAGATCCTGACATTTCTTGACATGGCAGATGTGGAAAGGACAACTTCCCCAGGGGGAGGATCCAGAACCAGGTATCGCTGTTTAGAAATAAGGGATCACCCATTTAACAAAAAAATGAGGAGCAATTTTTTTCCCCCCCTTTTTCTGACAGTGGGGGTGGAGTCATTGTCTTTGGGATGCTCTTCCCAAAAAAAAAACAGTGAAAGCAGTATTTCTGACTAGATTCTTGACAAGCAAGAGGTGAAAGGTTATTGAGGGTAGACAGGAGTATGGTGTGATCAGATCAGCCATAACCTTATTGATTGGCAGAGCAGGTTCAAGAGGCCTCGTTCTGGAAACATAGGTTCAAATGACTCAGCAAAGTGCCATTATGAAGGAAAGCATAAACACTGCCAATTAAACTGCAACCACTTTTCTGACTAGGTTAACAAGCAAATGCCCCATGAACAAGCTGACTTGCAGAATGCATATACAGCGAAAGCAAGGTTAGCAGCAAAAATGGATAAAGTTAGGATCTGGTCAGTACTTGTGACCCATTCCCCTAAGGGAAGACAATTCTCTTCACAAGCCAACACATGATCACACCATTATGGTTCTAACCATTGGAATTTACAGCACTCAGGCTGAATGACCAGCTTATCATATCACAGACACTTTGCTAATCCAGTGTAAAGTTATTATAACTGGTCACAATCTACTTTGACTTCTGCCATCAGTTACCTCGATGTTTCCACCAACTCGAGCCAGCAAAGGTGGAAGCGGTTTATCCTTCTCACCACGTAGTTGACGCTTGGATTGGCGACGACCTTCAGAGATAAAGGAAAAGTTTTAAATCACAAATATTTATGAATCTGTCAGCAAGGACAAGTAAAACCTATATAAAAGTTCTGCTGCAGAACATCAGATTCACACTCTCTCGCTACAAACATGCCTGCTGCAGTGCGTTGCATCCACGCTCTGTTTGATATTCTACCTATGGACAGTCCCATTGCAGGGTGTCAAATTCCACACTCCACACACTGCAAGGTGTCAGGTCCTCTCTCCACACAGTCTCTCTGAAGAGTGCTAAGTCCATTCTCCCCAAACAGTCCCGTTGTGGTGTGGTGGGCCCACATTCTCTCCCGACAGTCCCACATGTCATATCACTTCCACAGGCAGAAGTTACTTTAAACAAGAAGAAAATATTCAAATGCCAACTGATGAACGTAATCAAATGAATGAAAATTTTAAACTGACCTTCTGGCCTTTCATCAAAGTCTTCATCTTCTTCCTCAGAACCAACCGAATATTCGGATTGGTTGTCTGAAACATCATCCTGCCATTCTGCAACATTAGAAAGAAACAAAATTTATCTTTTTAACATGCAACTTTAAAAAATGATAAATACTTCGATTCCATGCACTATCACAGATTTAGTAAGGTTATTTTAGATTTAGGGTTCTCTTACCAATAAGTCTCCTTCAAGCTGAACTTTAATTTTCCAAGCTGGTCGATTAAGGAGACTACTGGAAACATCGCCAATTGTTTTTATAAAAAAAAGTGTGATTGATGCAAGTGCCCAGGAGCTAACACTGACCAGGATCTGACAAAGCGAGCAAAGGAATTTCAATACCCAGTGCCTGCCATGGAGAGCTGCCTGATGAGGCACTCGCCAACATTCTAGGGAGCAAAGTGAATTGAACACAAAGCCCCAGTTCTTCCTGTTGCCAGCTAAACTTTACAAAAAAAGTCACTTACACATTACTTCAGCTCCTGTTCCACTGGCACCAGCCCAACCCTACAGGAAACCGGAAGGACTGCGAATGCTGTAAATCAGGAACAAAAACAAAGTTGCTCGAGAAGCTCAGCAGGTCTGGCAGCAGAGGAAGGGTCACCGGACCCGAAACGTTAACTCGGTTTTTCCCTTCACAGGTGCTTCACAGATGCAGCATCTGCGAAGGGAAAAACAGAGTTAACGTTTCACGTCCGGTGACCCTTCCTCTGCTGCCAGACCTGCTGAGCTTCTCCAGCAACTTTTTGTTTTTTCACCACTTCAGGAAAACACAGTCTTAACTGAGATTTTGGAACCGAGATGAGAATGTAAGCTTTCATCTCCTCTTCTAACTCAAGAAGATCACATATCAGAAGCTCATCATTCAGTTCATCATGCTCACACCTGCACAAACTCTTTTACCGGTCTAACACTCTCAGCTTGTTGTAGCACCACCGTATCATAGAATATAGAACAGTACAGCACAGTACAGGCCCTTCGGCCCACGATGTTGTGCCGAACTTTTACCCTAATTTTTTTTTTTTTTTTTTTTTTTAAAAAGAAGAACTTTCAGACACTGATACAGGCAGAGAGCCTCGCTCAGACCAACCACATGTAATGTGAACTCTTGTATCAGCACTATTGGGTCTCTTGCCTCACTCTGCAAAGGGTCTGCTGTGAACTGGGGTCCAGAGAGGTGGGAGATCAACTTAAACCATGAAGGGTCCAGTGCGGGAACATCAGTGACCCAAATCCAGCAGCACTTTTGCTGGAACATTTGGCTGGAGATGGATCCTACAGGGAACAGTTGAGTCACCCACTTTGCAATGTGTATCTGACCTTGGTCCATCGAACATCAGAAATAGAAGCTTGCATTTATGTAGCACCTCTGTGACGTGCCAAAGCTAGTTACAGAAAACTACCTTTGAAGTGCAATCACAGTTGAGATGCAGGAATCAGTTAATGCATAGCAAGCTCCCACAAACTGCAATGCAATAACAGAAACTATGACAGTATGACTGGTCAAGAAATTTACTAGGCAGGAAGAAATCACGTAAAACTCCTCAACTCTTCTTCCAATAGTAGCCATGGATATTTTCCTTCAACCTCAAAAGGCAAATGGGGTGTCTATTTACTGGCTCATTCAAAAAAAATTACCTCAAAGTGCACTATTTCATTCACACAGCAATGAAGTAAGGAACATAACTAAACATGCATACACAATTGTAGCTAGTCAGTCATATCCTATTTAGGACTTTTTTTGTTAAAATCAAACTGTGATGAACCAGTACCTTTCCAGTATCTTTTCATCTTTCCCACGAAAGACTAAGGTTCACCTTGTGCCCAGTGCAGCCTTAGCAGTGCAGGGACCACTGGAGTTCAACCATCCAATACACTATTGCACTTTGAGTACCCCATTTATCACACCGCTGCAGCTGGGATCTCACTGTGCAAAACTGATTACTTATCTACAACAGGAACTACACTTTAGAAAGTTTAGTAAGAACTACACTTCATTAACCACAAAGTACTTTCAGACATCCCAAGTTCTCGAAAGGACGAAGAAGGCAAAGAGACAGAGTTTGGAGGTGGAAGAACACAGCAGGCCAGGCAGCATCAGAGGAGCAGGAGAGTTAACGTTTTGGGTTGGGACACGTCTTCACAAATGGGGAGGGGGAAGGGAGCTAGGAAATAAATAGAGAGGAGGGCTGGGGCTGCAGAAAGTAGGTGGGATGGTGATAAGGTGAGTGCAGGTAGGGAGTGGTGGGGATTGGTCAGTGGGGTGGGTAGTGCAGATAGGTGGAAGAGAAGATGGACAGGTTGTGTCAGGTTGAGGCAGGGATGAGAGGGAGGGTGGGGCATGGGATGAGGCCAGGGGTGGGAAGGTTTTAAAACAAATTCCATGTTTAGACCATTGGGCTGTAGGCTCCCAAGACAGAATATGGAGGTGTTGCTCCTCCAGTTTGCAGGACTCTCTCTCCAGGGTGACATGTCCATCCTGGGCCTCCTCCAGCGTCACAATAACACCAGCCGCAAACTGGAGGAGCAAACTATTCTGCCTCGAGAGCCTACAGCCCAATGACCTAAACATGGAATTCACAAGTTTTTAAATCTCCCCACCCCGGCCTCATCCCATGACCAACCCTCTCATCCCCGCCTCCTTGACCTGACACAACCTGTCCATCTTCTCTCCCATCAACCCACAACACCCATCACTACCTACTTGCACTCACCTATCACCATCCCACCTACCTTGCCCAGCCCCACCCCTCCTCTCCTCTCCTCTCCCTCTATTTCCCAGCTGCCTTCCCCTTCCCCCATCCCTGAAGAGTCCCGACCCAAAACATCAACTCTCCTGCTCCTTGGATGCTGCTTGACCTGCTGTGCTCCTCCAGCTCCACACAGTGCTGTCTCTGACTCTAGCATCTGCAGTTCTTGCTTTCTCGGAGATAGCCAAGAGGTGCTTTTCAAAATCATGAGAAATTGGGAAGAAACTGCTTCAATTGGTGAAAGAATTGAGAACAAGAGGACAGATTTATAGATGACTGGCAAAAAGAACAACAGCAACATGAGGAAAAACAGCAAGTGCAAAGGGACTGGAAAGGAGTAACAGCACACTGAAGACATGGCTTTGAAAACAGAACAAGACAAATATCTGAAAATAAACAAGTTTGCAGTGCTATGGGAAAAGTAGCTGGTATTAATCCAACAGGCTGAATGGCCTCATTCTGTACTCTAGACAATGCCATAATTCTACAGCCTCTGAGGACAGGCAGAGGTACAACTCAAAGCTATTAAGCACAAGGGGGAGTCAGCATCACAGCCATTGTGGGGTTTGTCACACATATGAGACGGAAGGAGTACTCAGCTGACAGCCCAGCCCACGGAAGAAACAACCTGTGATGCATGCTCAAGCAATGTGAAAATACAAGTCAGTAATTTTCAATGAATTTTACCAAAACCCAACAAAGCTGGGGTGATTTTGCTCTGTTAAGGTGGTCAGGCAGAAAGCAAAAATACACAGGTTCTAACTTTAGGTAGTCATACCAGCCTCAAAACATTAACTGTTTCTCCCTCCACAGGTGCTGCCAGACCTGCTGAGTTTCTCCAGATTTCTCCAAAATTTTCTCTTTTCTTTCAAATTACCAACATTTTGTTTTTACTTCATTGGAGCCAAGAAAGTTAAGAGACATCCAAATGGCAAGAGTTAGATTTCGGGCAAAAACGTGAACTGGAAATAACTGCTTTCAGTTGTTGTCGATTCAATAACAATGGTATTAATTTAAGATATTCAGCAAAGGAACATTGTAATAGACAGGGAGATTGTGTTTAAAGTGTACAAGTGTAAGGACATGGAATTCCATGTGTTGAAAACAGAATCTAGAATGGCAACGGTAGGGGAAGCAGCTCCTTCAAAACAGGCTATAACAGGCTCTTGCCTTTGCATTGTAAAACTCAACTAATCAATGAGATAGGGCAGGGCAGTGAGAAGCTGGAAAGAACTAAGCACATGTAGATTTCAATGCCAAGCTCCCAGCTAGCCAGTAACTACCAACCCACCCAGCCCAACATTTCCACCTGCTGCTACTGGCCCTGAACCAGGTATGCTCAACCCAAGGTCTGTTAGGAAAGTATAGCACTGCTGTTGACCTTGATCTTCCTGGGCAGCATCATTGTAGTTGACCTGCTTGCGGACCCGTTTGCCCTTGCCCAGGTTTCTCGCCAGATCCTCCTGCTGCTGCTCATAGTGGTGCCTCAACAACTTCTCCCAGTAATCAGGATCCACATTCTCCTCTTGCTTGATGATCTCCCTCTCGATCTCCTCTTCCTGCAGTCACAGAAATTAAAACACCATTTCCATGTTAACAAGTATCATAGTCAATCAACTCCAAGTTTAAGAAATAAGGACCCTTAAATACTAGGGTCAGTATCATGTCTAACTCTTATGAAATTAGTTTGCACAGCACTGATTTTTCTTACCTCCCTAGTAGTCAGTATTCAAGAGAGAGACAAAGCTCACTCCAATGCGGAGGTCACTACTTTCCTGAACTGACAGTCTTCTGGTATCCTGTGTACACGGGGGGACATCTAATTGAGGTATACAAGACGCTAAAGTTGTGGGGGCAGCTGCAGTGTCCTTGTATATACTTAAGCTGGCAACAGATCAATTCTTAAACAGTACGAGACATCAAGAGTGCAGAGAAAATGTAGGAAAGTAGATGTGTGGGATGTTGGATCAACCATGATCCTCATGAATGGTGGAGAGGCTCAATGCCTGTAACTCCTTGTTCCTATTTCTTATGATCCAAATGGGACTGCCAAAGTCAATGCAGAGCAGATATTTTCCACTTACTATATTTTCTCTTGTATTAGGCTAAAATGGTGATGGAGGTGGGGGGGGGGGGCGCGAATACACTTTTCTCAAAGGCTTGTAAATTTGTGGAACTAAGAGTGCAGTGGACACTGGGACACAATACTTTTAATGCAAACACAGGCATTTTTAGGTAGTAACAGGTTAATTGGGAACATGCTGGAGGGTGGAGTCAAGGCTCAGTTGAGATCAGCCATGATCCTATTAACTAGCACAGTAGGCTCAAGGTGCTGAATTCCCTTCTCCCGCTCCTAGTTCTCAAATTATGTCTAACTATGTAAGTTTTTGGAAAGGGATGGCAACACGCCTTCAGCATAAACTAAAAGGTGACCTTGAGGGGACTGATGTACAGGAAGGGACAGGAATTGTCCACTCGGATACCTTGGGAACCTGTCTTGTATTTATTAGCTAGAAGGGCTCAAACAAGCAAACAACACAAATTGAACCATTAACCCCCAGAAAATCTGGCATATCATTTAAAAATTCATTCACGGGACGAGGTCATCACTGGTTAGACAAATATTTATTGTCCATCCTTAATTGTCGAGGGTAGTTAAGAGTCAACCATGTTATGGTGGGTCTGAAGTCACATGTAGGGCAAACTGGGTAATAATGGCAGATTTCCTTCCCTAAAAGGACATTAGCGAACCAGATGGAGTCAATAAATGTGGAGTTGGAAAAGCACAGCAAGTCAGACAGCATCTGAGGAGCAGGGAAGTCAACATTTTGAGCCAAAACCCTTTGGGAGCCCTGAAGGAGGGTTTTGGCCCGAAACATTGACTTCCCTGCTCCTCGGATACCGTCCGACTTGCTGTGCTTTTCCAGCTCCACATTTATTGACTCTAACCTCAAGCATCTGCAGTCCTGACTGTCTCCAAGTGAGCCAGATGGGTTTTTCTGACAATTGGCAATGGTTTCATGGTCATCATTAGTCTTAATTCCAGATTTTTTTTTAAAAATTGAATTGAAATTCCACTATCTGCTATCGTGGGATTCAAACCTGGGTCCACAGATCATCATCTGGCTCTCTGGATCAACAGTCCAGCGATAACACCATAGGCCATCACCTCCCCAATGGGGCTGAAGACAAGCCATTGCCTACAAAAAGGCAAAAGCTTCCCCACATCCCAGCTAACTAGAGGAGAAAAAAAGAATGAAGACAATTTCTGTCAGCAAAATTTGCAGACACCACTATTTTTGGAGCACATTTAAGGAAAAGTCATTGTAGCCCCACAGTGGGCCAGAGGGCTGCTCTCCGAGAGATGTCTGGTAGTGCTTTTAACCAGAGGAGCACAACACCTCAGGTAAGGCGATAGGTTGAGAAGGCAGAATTTTCATGGTGACCTCAGCTATACAGGAATTGAACACCCACTGTTAACCGTGACCCTGCATTGCAAACCAGCCAACTGAGCAAACCGGCCTGATGCATACTTAATATGCAGGAGGACTGAGACAAAATAGAGACATTAGTAAACTTAAAGAAACCATTGTACAAGCATGAATCAATAGGAGGCAGTGCAAATTGGTAGGAGGAATTAGAGTTAGAAATCTACAGTACCTACAAAGACCCTTTGTCTGCACTGGCCCATAGCCTTGTATGCCTTGGCATTGCAAGTGCATATCTAAAAACATTTTCAATGTTATGAAGGTTTCTGCCTTGACCGCCCCGACAGATACGGCCTTCCAGATTCCCACAAACCCTCTGGATGAAAATGTTTTTTTGGTTACACCTCCGCTACACCATCTGTCCCTTAAATCTATGCTCCCTTGTCAGTGATCCCTTCAAAAGCGGAAAAATGTTTTTTTACCTGTCCTATTTTTGACCCTCAAATTTTATATCTCTCAATCATACCCACTCAATCTCCTCTGCTCCAAGGACAACTCCTCTAGTCTGTTCAATCTCTCTTCATAACCAAACTTTCTAGTCCAGGTAACGTCAATGAAAATCTCTGCACCCTCTCCAGTGCAAATCACATTCCTTCTCTAATGTATGCAGTTCTGGAATGCACAATACTCTAAGGTGTGGCCCAACCAACATCTTACACAGTTCCAGCACAACACTGCTGCTCTTAAACTATGTCTCAACTAAAGGTAAATATCCCATACGCCTTCTTACCCAATTTATCCATCCATCATGATTCATTAAGGGACCAGCAGACAAGCACACCAGCACACCAAGGTCCCTCTGATTCTTGGTGCATACCATGGCCCTACAGTTCATCATGCATTCCTTTGCCTCGTTCGTCATACCCAAGCGTCTTACCTCATTTATCCGGATTGAATTCCATTTGCCATTGATTAGCCTATTCCGTAACCCAAGGCAATCCTCCTCACTATTTATCACCTCATCAGTTTTTGTATTATCTGCGAATTTGCTGATCAGTCCAGGACTATGCCCTCTGGTAGGACCTTCTATAGACTGGCTTAAAAAGCTGCTCTGAATGCATTAAGGATTCCACTCACTCTAAACTTTGCACACTATAACTATCCCAGCTAATGCTGGGGAAGTTGAAATACCCTACTATTACCATATTACTTTTACTCTTCTCTTAAACTTGCCTGCATATCTGTTCTTCCATTTCTCTCAGATTGCTGGGGTCTTAAAAGATGCTTGCTCTTTTTTGGTTTTTAAGATTACTCATATGGGTTCATTTGAGGATCCTTCCAACATGTCAGGCCTCCTTATGCTATAATAGATTCCCTAATCAAAACTGCGACACCTCCACCATTTTTGAAAAACCTCTTTCCCCATCTTGCATGAAGGTCTTAATATTCTGGAATACGGAATTGGAGATATATAGTGATAATGCAGGAAGTGGAGTTGAGATGGTTTGCAATAATCTTGATGAATGCCAAAGGTGGCCTTAAAAGCATTAAAAAGTACTTCTATAGCTTCTATTAAATGTCTTTTTTCTAATAAAATAAGTATTAGGAAGAGGCCATTCAGCTCCTCAAAACTTCTGCACCATTCAATTAGACCATGGCTGATCTACATTTTAATTACACCTATCTTCTTGGGTTGCATAACACTCAATGCCAGGGTGCCTAAGAATAGCTTAGGAATTAATTGGGTTTTTAACGTGGCCACATGTAGAGACAGTAGCTTTGCTGTGATTGAGTTGTGAGGTAAATTCAATGACAAAAAAAAAAAAAGGCCAATGACCTCCTACTTGGACATAACATGCTGCCATTGCAATGCTTCACTTTGCCAAGTCTTAAATTTATTTGCAAAGATCAGCTCTAGTATTACCCTTTACCAATTAGCTTGGTGCAACAACAGATGCAGATTTTCATTCCCCATTGTGTGAAGGCCTGCTTCCTGACATTAAGCCCAAACAGACTGTCTCTAGAGATGTTTCCTTGTTCTTGACTGCCCTCCCAACCCCAAACCAGAGAAACAGATTCTCCATACTGATCCTATCAAATCCTTTAAATCATCTTGTTTAGATTAGCCCCTGATCTTCTATATTGATAGGTAATGTTTAGACGGTGTATACTTTTTAAAAAATTCTCAAAATACTCAAGTCAGTCAGCATTTGTGAATAAAGTCCTGTGATTCTATACAGTACAGAAGAAAGTAATTCAAACCATCATGTCTACACAGGCTCCCAAAAGAGCTACCCAGGTAGTCTCACTCTCCAGCCCCATTTCTGTAGCCCTCTAAATTCGTCACTTTCAAATACATATTCAATTCACTTTTGAAGTCACCTATGGAATCTCCCTTCACCGCTCTCCCAGGCGACTCATTCCTAATTACTTTAAGTAAAGTTTCTCCTCATCTCACTCCTAGCTCTCTTGCTGAGCATCTTGAAATTCACGACCCCAGTCACTGAGATATCAACTATTAAAAGCCAAATATCTGCCTTTAACTTGTCAAAATTGTTCATAATTTTGAACACTTCAATAAGGTGACCTCTTAATCTTCTCTGCTTCAATGACAATAAGTCCAATTTCTCTAATCTTCCTTGCTTTTATATTCTATGCCTCTATTTATAAACCCAAAGATCCTATTAACCTTAATTCTTCCAACTTACCTGGCCACCTTCAGAGATTTATGCACGTGAACTGACGTCCCAATGTTCCTGTACTCCCTCAAAATTGTACAATTGAGCCGGTTATTGTCTCGGTTTCTTCTACCAAAATTATCTCATTTCCCTGCAATGAATTTCATCTGCCATTTACCCATTTGGCCAACTTATCAATGCCCCTCTGAAGTTGCTCAACATCATCCTTATAATTCACTATGCTCTGTAGCTTAATATCATCTGCAACACCCATCACCAAATTTGTTTACATAAATCAGAGAGAGTCCTCATTCCAATCCCTGAGCAACACCACTTTCAATTCTTCTCCAATCTGAGAAACGCCCACCTATAATTTTCCTGAAGAAGGGTCTAGGCCCGAAACATCAGCCTTCCTGCTCCTCTGATGCTGCTTGGCCTGCTGTGTTCATCCAGCTCTACACCTTGTTATCTAGAATTTGTTTGCTCCTTTTTGGTTTACTCATATGGGTTCATTTGAAGATCCTTCTAACATGTCAGGCCTCCTTATGCTGTAATAGATTCCCTAATCAAAACTGCGACACCTCCACCATTTTTTAAAAACCTCTTTCCCCATCTTGCATGAAGGTCTTAATATTCTGGAATACGGTATTGGAGATATATAGCGATAATGCAGGAAGTGGAGTTGAGATGGTTTGCAATAATCTTGATGAATGCCACCTCTGTTTTCTGCATCTCAAGCCTGTGGTCTTTGACTCGAGGCATTACAGCCATTTGTCTCTCTCCAAAAAAAAAAAAGAAACAAAAAAATGCTGCCTAACTGACTCCTTCCAATATTTACTATTTTTATTTCACACTTCTCGAATCTCTTACATTTTGCTTTTGTATAATCATTTTGTTTTGATCATGTCACATTCATTATAGGATATATTTAGTTCAGGGAAGTCATTTGACATAATTCAGCAGTATGACTTTGAGATGGATAAAGAAGATTGTTATCGCACAGTGAGGCAGTACATCTGATAGATTGACTGAGTTACAGAGGTGCATCACTAGTGGTATATTGCTTTGTATCATACACTGCACACGCACTTTCTAACCCAACTCCCAATTCAGTCAGCCTTGTTTACCTTGGCCTCCTCCCGGACAACATATTGAGCCACTTTGAAGGAGGTGAGGTACTCATTCATACTTTGTATATCTGTGTCTTCTGTTGCATCTTGGTTCCTATCCAGCAGTCGATCAATAGCAGCCCCATCATAGTGGATAACACTGCTGTCTTCATCCTTATTATCGCCTGCAAACACATGGAACGAGAGGGGAAAAAAAAAAATCACCCGAGACTTTACACTTTCAGGGATGATGATAACAACAATGGACACTGCACAGAGGAGCCAAAGTGGAAACAAATTTATTGATTTATACACACTAGGATAGGTCAGGTCAGATTCCTAGCCTACACTGGCAGCAAGAACATCAAGAATATCATTTAATAAATGGTGCCACGTGAAAATGAAACTTTATTTGTTCCAGGTGACTCAGGTGATAAAGGTGGTAAAGGTGGTAAGATGGCAGGGTTGTGTGTTATCTAGAATAGCATTGATTGGACACATACTTGCAAAGGCTGCAGCAGGGAATGCATTTGCAAGGGATACAATTTGCTCAACAAGAGACACTTGGTCTAAAATACTTTGTGAGGCCATATGGCCCAGTTTGTAGAACAAAGTTATTGGCATTGAACTTTTTCCCCCTCTTTCTCCAAAACGCCTCATCTCAAAAATTTGAGTTGAAAACCCACTGGGAAATAACATCACTTGCTGAATGCTCGTAAATGAGAATTCAAAATCTACACTGCAGTGTCCAGAGAAGCAGCTTTAGCCATCCATGATTGGTCCAAGAAGAAATCCCAATATCAACAGCTCGTTTTAAATCAATTTCAACTGCAGACCAGCAGTTGGGACAATGTGAATAATTTTTTTAAAACTGAATTTAACGGTTACTTGGCCAAAGTACTTTTGAGATAAAATCCAGCAGATTTTGTTATTATTTCCTCAGAATGGAAGGGTGAGGATGTGGGGGTGGGTCGTGTATATGCCCCCCACCCCCACCCTGAAAAAGGGCAGTTGTATAACTGCACAGTTTAAATTATTTGTTAATAATCTTTACTGGACCAAGTTGTTTGCAATAAACTAGTCACTTGTTACTAAAAGGAACTTGGCTGACATGTATATCTGACTTACACAGCTTATCATTAGAAACATATAGTATGTAAAATTTGGCAGTATTCTTTTTCTTTTTGTGAATTTGACTATCTTCTGCTGCGTCATCAACAACCTTCCCTCCATCATAACATCAGAAGTTGTGGACCTTCACTGATGATTGTGCAATGTTTGGCACCATGCTCCAATACCGAAGCCATCAATGCCCAAATGCAACAAGACCTAACAATATCCACATTTGGGATGACAAGTGGAAAGTAACATTTGTGCCATACAAGGTACTAGGCAATGGTATCCCCAACAAGAGGGAATCTAACCACTGCCCCTTTATGTTCAATGGCTTCACCATCACCGAATCCCCACCATCAACATCCTGGAAGGGTATCACTGACTAGAAACTGAACTGGACTAGCTATACAAATACTGGTTACAAGAACAGGTCTGAGGCTAGGAATCAGGCAGCAAGTAACTCATATCATGACTCCCCAAAGCCTGTCCACCATCTACAAGGCACAAGTCAGGAGTGTGATGGAATACTCCCCACTTGCCTGGATGAGTGCAGGTCCAACAATGCTCAAGAAGCTGGACACCATCCAGGACAAAGCAGACCAGACAAGATTGCCACCACTTCCACAAACGCCTACTCCCTCCACCACTGAGGCTCAGCAGCAGCAGTGAGTATCTTCTTAGAAGATGCACTGGAGATATTCACCATGGATCTTTAGACAGTACCTTCCAAACCCACAATCACTATCATCTAGAAGGATAAAGGCAATAGACACATGGGAATAACACACCCTGTAAGTTCCCCTCTAAGTCACTTACTATCCTTACTTGCAAATGCCTTTCTTTCAATGTCACTGGGTCAAAATCCTGGAACACTCTGCCTAGTGGCAGTGGGCCCAGCAGCAAAGCCCATATCCTATTAATGAATTACAACAATTTATTAAAAAATCTGCTGTGATCAGTGGAGTGCGTCAAGGGAAGGATCAATTCACCCCTAACTTGGTCACAACAGCTACTGTGGATTTTGCATGAAGGAAACAAAGTAACCACAAAGCACCTCCCCCTCACCCTAGTCCTTGCCATTTCTTGGTTTTCCAGTTGCCATTGCATTGAATCCTACAGCACAAGATATCTTCCACATCTCTTCATGTCATCAACATATCCTTTTGTTCCTTTCTCCTTTACGTTTATCCAACTTCAACATTAAATACATTAGCACCTTATCTCAACCACTCTCCTCACAAGAGGAGATAATGAGCATATCAGTTCAGCTTCTTCCTTCTCCACTGACCAATTAACTCCACTGCTATGCTTAAGGTTAGATTTCCTCTTCGATCTGCTTACCTTCAATATCTCCTTTGAACAGTTCTTCTGTACCGAACTTGAGGATATCGTCCAACTCCTGTTTGGTCATGCTACCAGTCTTGGAGCCCAGGCCAGGGCGAACCACCAGGTGAGTCAGCATCATTTTACGTTTAGCCACTTGTGTGATTCGTTCCTCGACAGAGGCCCGAGTGACAAAGCGGTAGATCATCACTTTGTTTGCCTGACCGATGCGGTGGGCTCTGCTAAAGGCCTGAAGTAAGAATACAGAAATTGGGAGTGGGGGTGGGGGTGGGGTGTGTGTGTGTGGGGCGGTGGTGGAAGAGGGAAAATGAAGAGGCAGGGGAATGTGAATGAGGAGCATCAACACATAACTAAATAAAATATGCTCAAAACACCAGTCTACGAATTGGGTGGGGGGATGGCGGTGGCATTCAGCCCACTGCACCAGCTATCATTCAATTAGATTGGATGCAATTTTACCTCACTTACTTGTTTGGCTCCTCAAATTGACACTCTTATCCAATGTCTTGAAATTTTCAATTAACACACTCAAATCCACAACTTGTTTTTACAGGGGGGACGAGTTCAGGTTTCTGCTTCCTTTTGTGTTACCAAGTGCTTCTAACAACATCCCTGAATGGATTGGCTCAAATATTGATGTTTTGTCCCCTTGGTCTGGACTCCTCCTATTCAAGAAGACCCTATCAACATATCTAAACACCTAGATAACTCAATTGCAACCACTCACTAATCTTTTATATTCAAACATCGAACACAAGGATACTGTGTGGAATGAAGTGACAGGTTCAGTGTCCATAGAGGCTACTTTTGAGTGCCCAATATCTCAGCACAGGATTGATTTGCCCAGCTCTCTCCTACTGCCCCATGGCACAATAGAAAAGTGAAACTAGACTACATGCCTAGATTGATTTGCTTGCAACAGCCACCCGCCACCTGCCCTCAACCCCGCATCCCACCATGGATACTATTCTTGCCCCTCACCTGGATGTCATTGTGGGGGTTCCAGTCCGAATCAAAGATGATAACCGTGTCGGCTGTGGCCAAGTTAATTCCAAGCCCCCCAGCCCTAGTCGACAACAGAAAGCAAAACTGTAGAGCTCCTGGAGCTGAGAAAAAACAAATGATTAGCATTATCGAGAGAAGAAGGAATACAGGGAGAAAGGGGGAAGAGGAAAAAAAAAGTTCACTGGACTTGGAAAAAGAAGCCTTGAAAATCTTCAAAAGGTTGTCTCTGCTAGACTCACCATTGAATCTGTCAATAGCTTCCTGCCTCATTGCACCAGTGACACTCCCATCAATCCTTTCATACTTGTAGCCTTCATAGTCCATGAAGTCTTCCAATAAGTCCAACATTTTAGTCATCTAAGGAAAGTCAGCATGTAAGGTTGGTGGTACAGATAATGTGAAAACTTCCAGAACAAAGTCCAGTTTAAAAAAGCTTGAAAGAATATGATCAATGCAAATATCAGGATGCCATGAGTTAATTCACTGCCTAATGTAGTATTAACACAGTACATTCCATGTTGCGTGCATAATGTTTGTGTGGCAAAGTATAGGATCCTGTGGCATATACATGTGGCATTTATGCATGCCAAGACACATTGTGTGGAGTGTTGCATGTAGCTAATGATGTGTGGCAGGTGCAAGATGTGTCCCTTCAGTGTGTCAGTCATTCTGGTTCTGATCAAGGCCATTCAGCCCATCCATTCTAGGCAAGGTCAGTGACATACAAAGATTGTGAATGGTTATCTCCTGTATTTTTGATTCTAAAGGAGAGAAAAACGAGTGTCTTGAAACAAAAAGGAACTCCTTTGAACCCTGAAGACTGGCACAATTCAATTGTTTTCCCAGTATGTTTTGCTCCTCCATCAAATGCTAATTTTTTTTTGTCTGCTATATGCATAAGGGGGTTTTTAAGAGGGCACTAAAGTTTTCACAATTAGAGCTTTATGTCAGCAGTCCAAACTGTTTAATTATGGTTAGCACCTATTTATTTGTAATAAATAATTCTCATTTAGTACAGAAACTCGTCAAGTACAGGTCTGTGTTATCTGCTCAGAGTGTCTCTGTCAGGTAAATTAGAGACTTTGACTACTTTTATAAAATTAACTGTTGTGGCAGCTCTAGGAATAGTGGGGCTGGACTTCCAGCATGCTACTCTAGCCAGGCCTTACATGTTAAGCAGCAGGATTTTCTTCTGACATGTTATTAGCTTAATTATCAAACTCTAGGAAGATCTTTTTTCAATCATTTCCAGCCAAATCATAATTTTTATCATGTTATTGTCCCACTAGAAATGTTGACCTGATCAATTCTGCAATTAAGATTTTTCACTCATCCATCACCTCCCCCATCCATCCCAATTTGCCGATTTAATTCCGACTCTGAACAGCCCAGCACTGCAAGGTGGTGTACTAAGCTCCAAGACAGATAGCAGCGACATGCATCAAAGTCGGATAAAGTCAAGACAGACCTCAATCATGTCCAACAAGTCATATTCTGAACAAGATTATCCCACCCCATCTTTCATTGATGTGGTGTTGCACTGCATAGCTGGAAACTGAATAGCTTAGCAGAAACACAGAAATTAACTATTACCCACATGCCAGTAGAACTGGAGGAACAACTTGGAAGGTTTGACTTTATTAGTATGAAAAGTTAGCGCTGATGGTACAAGTCATCTGAAAAAAATCTGAGCATCCCAAGCTTGAAGGTTGCTGTACCTGAGAAAATATCAGCACCCTGTGGCCTTGGGCTTTCAGCTTCTTCAGCATCTTCTGGAGGAGTGTTAACTTCCCCGATGACTTGATCAGCCCACTGCCTTCATATGCGCCATTTGGTAACTTTGCAGATTCCTGCAGCCGAGGGAGACAAAACAGATCTCTAATCGTATCAATACCGAAATACAACAGCAGCAGCAAAATTAGCTGAATTGTGAATGCTCACCATACCTTATTATCTTTCTTTACCCTTTCAGTAAAAAGGCTCCCAGGCACCATAGATTTTCTCTTCGCCTTTCTCCCACCACCCTGCTCCCAAATGGCATGTATTCTGATATCTCGCCCAAGGGCCTGGGCGAGAGTGGAGAGGGTACCACAACCGAGACTGTTCCCCTCTACCTACCACCACTGAAATCATCATAATCATCTGGTCATTATAAGCTTGCTATTGAGGTATTCTGCACTGCTATTTGAAATTCTACTCCTCACGTAACGCTGCACCAAACTTCTACTTTTCCTGTTGTGGCTATATTGTATCAACTTCCCAATGACAATGCACCAGATTTGGATACCAACCGTCTACACTCCTGACCCAATCCTAGGCCTGTACATTCTCCCTCTGTCAGTCCACGTTCATCAATGCTCCGGTCCATCTGCCCTACTCATTAGTGACAATTCAGGATTATTCACAGTACTACAGATGTGTCAACGTTCACTTCTATAGAAAACACAGCTCAGGAAAGACAATGGCGAGGAGTAGACAAGGCAAGGATTCAACACAGTGATGCAACCTGAACTATGTTCCATTGAGAACAGAAAATTAAGGGGTGATCTACTCAAAATGTTTAAGAGAACAAAAATGACTCCATACATTTAATAGAGAAAAGCTATGAACAACTGAGGTGGGGAAGGGGACAGCATCTAGAACAAGGGGCAGACCTTTAGACTTTGAGCCAGGCTGTTGAGGGGTGACGTCACAAAGCAAAGCAGAACTCTAGAACTCTGACCCAAAAAACTGTTGAGACAGAGGGATTTATAGGAAATAATAGCACAGGTAGGCCATTGAGCCCTTTGAATAAAATCATTGCTAATCTATTTGTGTTTTGAATTCTACATTCCCATTTACCCTCAAAAACTTTGATCCCCTTATCTAAAGTGAATCTATCTACCTCTACCAACAGCATGGGTTCAATTCCCATATTAGTGGAGGTGACCACGAAGGTCCCTCCTTCTCAAACTTTCCCTTCACCCGAGGTGTGGTGACACTCAGGTTAAGCCACTACCAATCATTTTTCTCCAATGAAAGCGCAGCCCTGTGGCTCTCTAGGACTACAGTAACTTTGCCTTTGTACCAACCTCAAGCGCTTCTAAGACAACAACGACACATCCACCATCTCCTGGAGGCACAGAATTTCAAAGTCCCACAGCCTTCAAACAAAATTACCTTCATCACAGTCTTGAAAGGATGACCCTTAATTTTGAAACCGTGCCCACTAGTTTTGAACTGATCCAGAAAAGGAAACATCCTTTACCACATTAACTCAATGCCACAATTCAGGATCTTATACACTTCAATAAAGGCATTTCTTACTCAGGCTCAAGTGGAAATAAACCCAGCGTGAGACATTAACATGTTGCAGGAATAGGTGAATAGGCAGATGAGATTCAATTTGGGGAAGTGAGAGGTGATGAATTTTGGTCAAAAGGACAAAGACAACACAAAGTGAAAGGGTACAACTCTAAAGAGCAAGGATGCAATGTTGAACTTGTACAAAAGACACTTGTCAGGCCTCAGCTGGAATGCTGTGTACAGTTGTGGGCACCACAACGTAGAAAGATGTGAATACTTTGGAGAGTGCGCAGAACTGATTTACTAGAAATCACTCCAGGTAAGGAGAAACTTCAGCTATGAAGCTAGATTGAAGAAGTTGGAGCTGTTCTTCCTGAAAAAAAAAAGATTCAGAGGCAGAGGCAATCTCATTGAGATTTCCAAAATCACATGAGCTGGACAGAGTGGATATGAAGAAGCCATTTCCTCTTGTAAAAGGAATGAGAGGGCACAGATTTAAAGTGATGCGCAAACAAAGCAAGGTTAATGTGAGGAAACAGTCTCCCTGCCAACTCCCCTCCCCCATACAGTGACTTGTTAAGGTATGAAATGCACAACCTGGAAGAGTGGGGTGGGAGGTTCAATGGAGGCATTCAAGACAGGGCATTGGATGGTCTTTTTGGATATTAAATGGTGCAAGGAATACAGAGAACAAACAGGAGACTAGCACTAGATAAGAGAGAATTGGTGCAGGTACAATAGTCCAAATGGCGTCATTTTGCACCATAATAACTTTGCCATGGTGTCCAATCTTTCCTCATAAAACAGCCTGCTTATTCCAGTATCAATCTGGTAATCCTCCTCTGTAATTACATGGGGGCAATTTGTTGTTCCTTAAATAAGGAGTTCAAAACTGCACAAAGTATTCAAGATGCCGTTTTACCAAGAACATAGAACAGTAGAGGCCCTTCGGCCCACGATGTTGCGCCAACCTATTATGCTACTAAAATCAAACTACCCTGCATACCCTACATTATACTATCATCCATGTGCCTATCCAAGAGTCACTTAAAAGTCTCTACAGTATCACTACCACTGCCAGCAGCGCATTCCATATGCCCACCACTCTGTGTAAAGAACCTATCTCTGACATCTCCCCTATGCCTTCCTCCAATCACCTTAAAATTATGCCCCCTCAGAATAGTCATTTCTGTCCTGGGAAAGTCTCTTGCTATCCACTCTATCTATGCCTCTCCATCTTGTACACCTCTATCAAGTCTCCTCTCATCCTTCTTCACCCCAATGAAAAGAGCCCTAGCTCCCTCAACCTTTCCTCATAAGACTGGTCCTCCAGTCCATGCAGCATCCTGGTAAATCTTCTCTGCACCCGCTCTAAAGCTTCCACTTCCTTCCTATAATGAGGCGGCCAGAACTGAACACAATATTCCAAGTGTGGTCTAACCTGGGTTTTATAGAGCTGCAGCATAACCTCACAGCTCTTAAACTCAATTCCCCTGCCAATGAAAGCCAACACACCATATGCCTTCTTAACCACCCTATCAACTTAGGTAGCAACTTTGAGGGATCTATGGACGTGAACCCCAAGATCCCTCTGTTCCTCCACACTGCCGAGAATCCTGCCATTAACCCTGTATACTGCATTCAAATTCGACCTTCCAAAATGAATCGCTTCACACTTTTCTGGGTTGAATTCCATCTGCCACTTCTTTGCCCAGCTCTGCATCTTGTCAATGTCCCGTTGCAACCTACAACAGCCCTCCACGCTATCCACAACTCCACCAACCTTCGTGTCATCAGCAAACTTACTCACCCACCCTTCCACTTCCTCATCCAAGTCATTTATAAAGATCACAAAGAGCAGAGGTCCCAGAACAGATCCCTGCAAAACACCACTGGTTACAGAGTTCCAGGCTGAATACTTTCCATCTACTACCACCCTGTCTTCTATTGGACAGCCAATTCTGTATCCAGACAGCCAAATTTCCCCGAATCCCATGCCTCCTTACGTTCTTAATGAGCCTATCATGGGAAACCTTATCAAATGCCTTGCTAAGATCCATATACACCACATTTACTGCTCTGCCTTCAATGTGTTTTGTCACATCCTCAAGAATTCAATTAGGCTTGTGAGGCATGACCTGTCCCTCACAAAGCCATGCTGACTATTTCTATTCAAACTGTGCTTTTCCAAATAATCATAAATAATATCTCTCAGAATCCTCTCCAATAATTTGCCCACCACAGGAGTAAGACTAATTCCCAGGATTATCCCTACTCCCTTTCTTGAAGAAGGGAATGACGTTTGCCACCCTCCAATCATCTGGTACCAAGGCCCTATATAAAAGTAAGGATGCTGTTATGCTTCAGCTATGTTCAATGTCTCTGGTATTAAAAGATAGCATTCCATTAATATTCATCCCACTCACTGCTTTTAAAAGAGCCTCAGCTAAAAATGTGACAACTGCTTTGCACCATAGGATGGTTTACTCCCAAAAATATAAGCCTCTCATTATTGGCTGTAATCCTTAAGATCCTAAGCAGTGGAATGAGGGCCACCAAGACAAGACTGAGACATAAACATACTAGAATGATCACCTACCATGGCAGCCACTGGGAAGAGATAAGGATGGTTACAACATTTCTTCAGATCCATCATAATATTCAGCAATGACACCTGATTTCCACCACCTTTGGAGTTCAGTGCATCAAAGTTTCTTGTCAGAATAAATTTATAGTACTTTCTGAAAAATAGTATATAGGTTACAGATAAGACATCACTTCTTCCTACTCCCCATTACCTTGCCACCCCTTTCCCCAGGAGAATTTTAAAACATCCAGCAGCTAAAAGGAACTGGAGTACGTTGCTTTTCAAGATGCTGAGTAGAGGTTTCACCAAACAGGGAACTAGGATACAATTATTTCGGAGTGGTGCAGTACAGGAGTGAGAGGATGAGTACGAAAGCCACAGTGCCTCACCAAAGCTAAGAATTAGAAAACTGCTCCTCACTCTATCACAAACTAGTGAAACAGATTTCACTAGGAAATATCTAACTGACTCTGACTGATCACTAATCAACCTGTTCAGAGATTTTATTACACATCTCTGGTGCAGGTGGGGCTTGAACCCAGCCTCCTGGTCCAGAGCCAGGGCCACTACCACGGTATCACAGGACCCCCTCTGTTAATGCCAACAAACAAAAACAAAACAGCTGGATCAATATTCGGCCACATCCAAGACTTGAGTGACATCAAAGCCATTGCTTGTTTAGAACAAGTTAGAGGGTCTGGGAAGACAGACTTCAGTTAATGTGGACAGAATGGAGAAGATAGTGCTATCTTCTACACAGCAGTAAAGGAAGATCTAAAAGAGATGTTCAAAATTATGAAGATTTCTGATAACATAAAGTAGAAATGATTTCCACAGGCAGGAAGGCTGATGCCTGGAGGATATCAATTTAAAATACTTGGCAAAAACAAAAAGCACTTACAAAACAACAAAAGGAAAAACAAAATGGAGCCAGCTGCTATAAAGGGCAGTGGAAACAGATTTAATAGTAACTTTCAAATGCTTGAAAGAGCAACATTTCCCAGGCTGAGAGCGGAAAATAAGTGAGGAGTTATTTTCAAGACAGCATCACAACAGATCCAATGGGCCAAATTATCTCCTTGAATATGCATTCACACTTCACAAGCCTAGTGTTGAAATGAAGTTGAAACTGCAATGTCTGACGCTGCACTAAAAACTGAACATGAAGGCCCAAACCTGACTGGAAAGCCAAGTGGAGTGAATTCACCTCCTCAAGGAAGCCTCCAGTCCAGCTTCAGGAGGGGCATACTTCCAGATTCAGGATGCACTTATGGCACAAGTTTAGCATCAATGCAAAGGCAAGCTACTTCACATTGCTAATAGAAATACCACATTGTGTGGTAAGGGAGTCCATGAGGGACTAAATGCAGTCCCTGCATTGGAAGGGATTGGACGAGTTGAATGAGTTTCACACTCCAGAATGCTCTCCTCCCCACCCACCAGTAAGCATCTTGACCCAAAGGTGAAGGATATCACTACTCAGGGGGGGGAAATAGGCCTAGCTAATGATTACATACTTCTGCATCGCACTCAACTCCACACGCACAATCAGTTCCGTCTTGGAGGGCATGTTCTTGAAAACATCAGTCTTAAGGCGTCGAAGCATGTGGGGACCAAGGAGATCATGGAGCTTCTTGATCTGGTCCTCTTTTGAGATGTCAGCAAACTCTTCAAGGAAGCCCTCTAGGTTACTGAAAAGGAAAGTGAGAGTCAGGCTTTGGGTGGTCACTCAACCATTGAATCTTCTCTGGCTGTTCAGGCTGTTGCACCAATGACAATATTAATACAGTGCCTCTTAAGTCACAAAGCTTCCCAAAAGGACTTCAGAGTTTCAAACTTATTTTTTGAGTTTCTAAGTTTCATTTAGTGAAATGAAGATAGGTGACTTAAAACATGATCAAAGTGGTGGCAGTCAAGGTGTAGCTTATGGGAGCAGGAGATGGGTTTATGGAGGGAATTCCAGTGTTTAGGGCCCATTTAACTGACGGTGCTGATGGTGGTGGTGAATGCTCATTTTGCGCAAGAGACCAGCGTTGCTAACTGGGGGGTGGGGGGTGGGGCTTAATTAAACCAGAATCTCCTGAAACAAAGTACTTCAAATGACTAGCACTCAACTGCAGGCAAAAAGTCCAAAGTACCAAAAGTGTGAGATGCAGATTTAGACTGATGCAGACCCAGCACTGTGCTGAGGGAGTGCTGCACTCAGCTATTTAAAGGAAATTACTAGGCCGAAGAAACACTTTGCACATCTTTTAGCTGAGTGACGACATTTTCCCCATAAATTGATATAATGAAAAGAGACTATTTGAAGCATGCATTATGTTCCCATTGTATGCAGTAACATCCACAGTCAACAGGGTTTTATTTTAGAAAACCGCAACAAATAGTCTGTTTCTCAATGCCATTCTCCTGCCGTCTCCTCACAACCCTTACCAATCAAGAATTTTTCTATCTTGGTCTTAAATACAATGACAAGGTGCCACACAGTGGGCTGCTAAATAAGATCGGGGCAAGGTACTAGCATGGATAGAGTGGTTGTCTGGCAGAAGGCAGAGAATGGCGGTAAAGCCTTCTGCAGCAATAAGGTGCATGGATTCACCAATATCTGACCGAAGAAGTTCCTCATCTCAGTTCTCCCTTCACTCTGAGGCTATGCCCTCAGGTCCTAGTTTATTCTACTAGTCAAAAAAATCATCTCTAGGTCCACTCTATCCAAGCCTCTCAGTATTCTGCTAATTTCAATGAGATCCCCTCTCATCTTTCTAAAGCTCCACCCATTCCAGATCCAGAGTCCTGAACCACTCCACAACGACAACAGATCCTTCCTTAGAAATGGAGCTCAAAAACTGCACACAATATTCCAAATGCAGTCTGACGAGAGCCTTAGTAGTACATATCTGCTCTTGCATTCTGGCCCCCTTAAAATGAATGCCAACACTGCATGTGTCTTCCTAACTGCCAACTGAACCAGCATGTCAACCATACGAGAATCCTGAACTTGGCCTTCCAAGTTCTTTTGTGCTTCAAATTTCCAAAGCCTTTCCCTACTTATTCTTCCTAAAGTACGTAAAGTAATCTCTCCCACATTGTATTCCATCTGTCATTTATTCTGTCCACTTCCCTAGCCGGTCCAAGTTCTGCAGCCTCCCCACTTCCTCAACTACCTGTCCATCCACCTATCTTGCATCATCTGTAAACTTAGCAACAATGCCCTCAGTTCTTCTGTCCAGATCATTATCGTATAATGTGAACAGCTGTAGTGCCTGTGGAACTTTTAGTCACTGGCTGCCATCCTGAAAAAGACTCCTGCATCCCCATTCTCTGCCTGGAGCCAGGCAGCCAATCCATCCATGCCAGTACCTTGCCCTGATCTTATTTAGCAGCCTCCTGCGTGAAACCTCATCAATACCGACTCAAGAGGATAATATGGAGTCACAGTAAAGGCAACGTCCCATCTGCCCTCTGTTTTTGAAGGTTTAACTTCAACCAATTTTATTTTAAACACAGCTTTATAGGCCGGAAGTATTACAATTTCTCTCTCTTTTAAATGAATAAAAAGAATGGAGCCTCAACAGACATCACCACACAAACCCAAATGGAAAGGAACAGAACTCAGGATGCCAGGAATTTTGCAAAACAAAAATCACTAACATAGAATTTGGTTAATATCACATAGCTGTTTGTGGCAGCTTTTCCTAGGATTACAATAGGACTACACTTTATAACCAATGAAGTTTCCCTTTGAAATACTTCGAAAGGTCTCAAGGTTGTGAAAATGGTACTTACTTGAAACGGTCAGGCGTGAGAAAGTTAAGCAAATGGAAGAGTTCTTCTAGGTTGTTTTGCAGTGGTGTTCCTGTCAGCAACAGCTTCCAAGCAATCTTGTAAGCATTCAACACTCTGAAAAACTGAATCATTATCAGGTCAGTATGGTCATCAGGATTTCCATATTTCCTCCATTCGCATCCTCTCAGAGCTCAGTACATGTCCCTAAGGGGCACAGAAAGCAACTTATACCAGGCAAGCCCCAACATTGACTTGGTCATGGTCCCCTGAATCAGAAGGTTGTGGGTTCAATTCTGACTCCAGAGACTAGCAACTAATCCAAGTCCATTCTCCCAGCATTTTTTAAAAATTTCAATCCCGGGATGATGTCTTCATTGGCCGGCGAGCATTTATTACCCGGCGCTCAGAAAGGAGGGAGCTGTGTACTGCTGGAGAGTGCCGCCTTTCAGAGGAGATGTGAATCCAAGGTCCCAGCTGTCCTCAAAGTTTCTTCTTAAAAAAAAAAAAAATCAGACAAAAAAGGACAGGAGGTATCTCCCCAGCCATCTGGCCAATACAGATCACTCAGCTGACGTCACTAGATTGGACTGTCTGGTCATCAGAATACAACTTGTTTATGGGAGTCTGTTGTACACAACCTCCCACAACAGTGAATACAGTTCTAAGACGGACTTCTGTACAAAGCTACACACCAACCAGGGGACACTGACTGTGACAGGTAGTACACAAACTCTAGTGATCAGTCACCTTCTGACCCTTACAGATTTTCAGGTGATTCACCAAGCCGTTCAGTTAGAAACGAGGGATGAACAATAAAATATACCCTCAAAGCATCACTCACATCCCACACAGAGTTATGTAGTGGTTACGTTAGCAGTCTAACGCAATCCAGAGGTTTGGAGGCAGAACTGAGAATTCAAGTTCAAGCTCCTCTGTAACAGCATGAGAATTCATATTCCATGTTTTTCTAAACATTTGAAAATAAACAACTGAAAAAAAAACCCACGAAACTACTGGATTACTGCAAAAATCTAAAGTGGTTCACTAACATTTGTCAGAAGAGTGCGAGGTTCGTACAATGGTTAGTTTTTAAACCATCTCCTTTTATTCTTTCAAGGGATGCAGGCATCAGCATACCGTTCATTCCCAATTTTTAATGCTTAGAGAGAGTAGCGAGGAAGGAATAGACAGATATATGAATGGCAGAGGAAGATTGCCCTCTACTAGTCACCATGCAGGACGTAACAGATGCTCATTTTCTCATTGGAGACAAAAATCTGTAGGTATGAAAGAGAACTGGAGGATGCTGAAAGGAATCATTACCAGAATGGGCCTTGCTACGAGAAGTTGGTTACGTTCATAAGTTGGAGGGAAACTGCTTTCAACAGACACTGAGCTTTCCAACTTAAGTGAAACAAGAAGTGATCCTGATGGAGGCTTGGGAGTTACAGGTAGTCCCCAGATTGCAAACAGGTTCTGTTCTGGAGAGCATCTGCAAGTCGACATGTACGCAAAGTCAGAACACAATGCAGGGCAACATATAGGAACTGTTAATAAGTACAGGAAAGATTCATATGTCAGGGCTTTAAAATTGTATTCCAGTTTGAGATCATGTTCATAAGTTGGATTTTCCAAAATCAAATTTTGTTAAAGAGTACAAATCTCAAAATATGTAACCTTGTCGAGCAGCACTGCTGCCTCACAGCACGAGGGATGTGAGTTCGATTCCACTCTTGGGCGACTGTCTGTGTGGAGTCTGTACATTCTCCCAATATCTATGTGGGTTGCCTCTGGATGCATTTTCCTCCCACAGTCCAAACATGTGCAGGTTAGGTGGATTGGCCATACTAAATTG